AAGGTTCAAAAGCTTCCTAATCCGCGCTGCAATGAGACCGTGACGGTGGTCCGCATCGTCGATATTTTTCATGATGGTGATTGCTGTCGAAGAGTCAAGGTTCAACTCCACCTTACAAAATCCTCTTTCCCACGCTCTCTGCAATCCAATTTCTACTCCTCTAAGCTCGGCCATGGTGATTGTGCAGCTTCCCAAATTGCAAGTGAAGGCGTCGAGACATCTTCCAAGGTGGTCTCGAAGGAGGCCCCCTGTTGCTGCTTTTCCTGAGTTTTGCAGCACTGATCCGTCGGTTTGGATTTGAATCCAACCCTCTCTAGGTGGCTTCCAAGCAATGAACGTTTGAATGTGTTGGTTCCGAGGTGCCACGATGCTCTTTTCCTCGTTAATCCTTGCTGGCTTGTACACCTGAATCCAAGACATGATTTTACTAATCAGCCCTGCCTCTGAGTACGTTTTCCCATCCATAATTTCTTCGTTCCTCTGTTTCCAAATCATCCACCAGGTGATGCCAAAATCAGTTCCCCTGTCTGCATCATTTATGTTGTCGATGATCCATTGCTGGAAGCTTCTGTTTCCCCCTGGTGAATGTCCAGCTCCTCATTGTAGACCTTGCAGCTTCCATCTGTAGTTAACTTCCTTTTCGTTCTTTCATGATTGGTATGAAGCCGGTTATGTGGGACTAGCAATCTGCTTGAGCTTCTTCCAATCTATTTGGCCGTTTCCACTCCCAGAGCTTCTTCCAATCTGCTTGAGCTTCCTCTCCAACCTCGTTTGCAGCCAGCAGGTAAGCTGATTTAAGTCTGAACCTTCCATCTTTTTCCAGCCCCCAGATTGTGGTATCCTCTCCCATTCCTTGCACGGGTGCTTCCATCCCTGCAATGCGCATGAGACAATCATTAGGGAGAAGTGAGTTAAGCTTACTCCAATCCCACTCACCTTGGTCATTAGCCATCTCAGCCACGGAGCAGCATCTTTCATCATCAGTGAGAGATCTCAGGCTGAAATCTTTAAGCAAGGTATCTTGATCATTCCAGTGGTGGTTCCAGAATTCGGTTGTTCTTCCATCCCTAATGCTCCAAACAATGGCTTTCTGCATCAAAGGGTAAGATTTAAGGATTTCTTTCCAAAGGCTTGAGTGATTGCTCCTCTTCATGGCAATGATTCTTCCTTCTCACTGGTGAAAGTACTTCCCCTGCATTACTTTCACCCAGAGATCATCCTTGTTTTTTAGAATTGACCATACCAGCTTGATCATATAAGCCAGGTTGAGACATCGAGCTGATCTAAGTCCTAATCCTCCTTGCTGCTTTGGGGTGCACACCTTCTCCCATGACACCAGATGCACTTTTCTTTTTCATTCTTGTGATCCCCAGACGAACCGTCTAATCCTGCGATCAATATCATCACAGATGGAAACAGGGAGCATTGATGTTTGCATAGCATAGGTAGGAATTGCATTAAGTACAGACTGTGCAAGTGTAACTCGTCCTGCCAGGAAAAATGTTTTAGCCTTCCAGGCTGTGAGCTTCCGATCAATCTTCTCCAGGATGTATTTGAAGGTGGTTTTGGAGATTCTTCCATGAAGAACAAGAACTCCCAGGTACCTCTCCAGGTCATTAGTCTCCTGAATCCCCAACCTGCTGCAGATATCCCTTAGATTAGAGCACTTTGTGTTCTTGGAGAAAAAGACTCTGGATTTCTCTTTGCTGATTTGTTCTCCTGAGGCAGAACAGAAGGCTTCAATGCAGTCCACCACCTCCTCTGCCTGTCTCGGGCTGGCTTCAGCAAACAGCACCAGGTCATCAGCAAAGAAAAGATGAGACAAGGGAGGTCCTCCTGGAGATAAATTCAAAGGCTTCCATCTCTTTTCCTTCACAGCATTCTCAATACAATGGCTGAGTCTCTCCACACATAAAGTAAACAGGTAGGGTGACAGAGGGAATCCTTGACGGAGTCCCCTACTTGGAGAGAAGCTTTCAGATTCTCCCCCATTCCAGAGCACCTGCATTTGGGTGGAAGAAACACACTGCATCACAATAGCAACAAAGTTGGGGGGAAAACCAGCAAGGTACAAGGTCTGCTCAAGGAATTTCCACTCAATTCGATCATAGGCTTTTGCCAGATCTATCTTCATGAGCATCATTCCTTTCTTTCCTGTTTTTCTGGCCATAGAGTGAACTGTTTCCTGCAAAATCAAACTATTGTCAGTGGTATGGCGTTTAGGTACAAAGCTAGTATGGTTTTGCTTCACTAGGATTGGCATAAGTCCTTTGATCTTGTTAGCCAAGCATTTGGCTATCGTTTTATAGCCAACATTGCAAAGGCTAATTGGCCTAAACTCCTTCACGGAGACAGGGGCTTCTGTCTTAGGGATTAAGACCAGCAGAGTCTCATTAGTCCTGCTTATCAGATTATGGCAGGTGAAGCATTCCTGAATGAACTTGCAGAAGTCCTCCCCAACGCTTTCCCAACATTTTTGGAAGAAAAGGGCATGAAATTCGTCCTTTCCAGGCGCCTTAAGCCCATTCATGTCATTGATGATGGCTTTGATTTCCTCATTGGAAGGAGGAGCACTAATTCTAGCAAAGCGAGCTTGACTGATTTCGGGGAAGAGACATGGAAGTGGAGGCTGAAGCGGTTGATCATCACTTCTGAACAGGTTACAATAATACTGTCTTGCCATATCCAGGAGGGCGTCCGGATCAGTAACCCAGTTGCCATCCTCCGCTTTTAGGCAAGTAATCATGTTTCTCCTTCTTCTGGTCAAGGTAATTGGTGAAAAAAACGTGTGTTAAGGTCTCCAAACAACATCCAGTTGGCACGCGATTTCTGCATCCAGAGGATCTGTTCTTGCCAGACCGTTTCTTCCAACTCTTCTCGAATTCTTTGTTCCATTTCCAGGGAGCTTCTGCTTTGAGAGGTTTCATTGAACTTCTCAATTTTTTTGAGCCGATTGGAAAGCTGCCTCTTTCTTTTGAAGATGTTTCCGAAAGTCTCCTTGTTCCAGGTTTGTTTACTTCACACACCGGGAACTATAACTATTATGAGTACGCTGCTAACAAAGAAACTGATAAAGAGAGGGAGATGGTTAAATTCATTTTCTGACTGCGTGATCAGGGGTAGAATTACAAGTGAGTTGAATACAATACATACTCTGGTCACATACATATATATGCTTTATTTTATGCGCGCATTTGATTGACAAGATGAATAGTTAATGAACGAGGAAAGCTGACCAGCTAAAGAGACCCTATTGTGCACTTTTCTTGGGAAGGGAGAGCCCTTGGAGAATCCAATTGGAGCACAAGGAGGTAAGCGGGAAAAGCGAAGGGATCTTGATGGACTGACTTGCTACCCTGTGCGAAAGGAGGGAGAAGAGGAGAAGAAGTGAAGTTGCATGACTGGTGCGCCATTAATTCTTATGTTGGGAATTCATTAACTTTCTGTTCTTTGTACATGGCACTGTGGTACAGCTCTGGCACGAAAGTAATTTTTGTATCTCGGTCGGATATGAGGATTAAACCTTTTAATGAAGCTTAAGGTTTATAGCTATTTCAATTCTTTGTAGTTTCCTTTCCATAGGTTGTATCTTGGTTTGTGGGATTTGAATTTTACTGAAATAGCGAATTGGTCCGCTTCCTACTCAATCGCAGTTCAATCTTGATCTCTTGATTTGTCTCATGGAAAGTGGAGCTCTGTTAAGATGGTTGCTTTCTGATGTGCTAATGTTGCTTTACTGCATAAGTCATATTGTTCTTAATCTTTTTTGTTTACTTTTTTGTATGCTAATGGTAGCTATAAATTTGTTTATGTGTGTATTTTTTTCCAGCTTTTCATTATGGTAACAACAGATTACACAAATAAAACGAATCCCGTGGCAGAGCGGGGGAGATTACCAGTATATATATCTATATATTTAATCCTAGTCGAGGTTTGATATATATCACAATGTTATTCAATTACCTCGGTTATTGGAGATGTATCATTCCGTTATATGATATAGTTCGATAAGCTAAAAAGAGTATTCACCACGAGTAAGAAAAGTTGAAATAGAAAGGAGAGAAAGAGTGAATAGATTCTGTAATTTGTGCACATATAGTAGCTCACTTTTGTCTTTCTTATCTTTTGTCAATGAGGTTAATGTTAGAGATCGCGAACAGCCAAGAGTTACTTTAATTGTATATAGGTTTGGAGACCAAGATAATGAGATGTAAACAGAGAAACATGGAGGGTTTATAACATTTTCATAGAAAATATCAAAGCCGCAGTTTGAAAATTGAAGAAAAAAACAATTGCACCAAGTTTAATTGACAGACGTACGAAACTAAGTCAAATTCGTTTTTATTACCACCGATACAGTCAAAAGCGTGATTCTACGTAGAACCGGAAAAGGGTAAAATTGTAAAGCGTAGAATCAAAACGTAAAAATGCAAGTTTTTTACACATATTGTATAAAATGACTAAAAATCTATTGAATACGACATATACTAATACTATGGAAAATATGATTGCACAAAATTTAGATACGTTAATAAGTACCTGCAATTCAAGTCTAAAGTAGAGCAACTCATAGCATCTTAACAATAAGTTCATAAACATAGAACTTAACAGTAAGTCACATTCCCCTCTATCTCTATGCTAATGAATTTGGGAAGGGCCTAGTTGGTGAATTAGATATACTTAATTGAAGCCGAGAACGCATCCAAGTACCTGGTATTATCTCTTAATCTCAAATATACCATCTTATCTGTGATTTACTTTTAAAATATACTTTTTATAATAAATTTCATGAAAAGAAAACCGATTTAGTGAACCAAAAGCGTAAAGCGTTTTGGTGAACTAGAAGCGTAAAAGCGTAAGCTTTTATGCTTTAGAGCGTAAGCTTTTATGCTTTAGAGCGCAATTTAGTCCGATTTTTATACACTAAAGATTTTATATGAAAATAAAAACATTTAGATGATCTAGAAGTATAAAAACGTAAGCTTTTAAGTTTTAAAACGCGATTTTAACTGCATTGATTACCACAAGCAACCTCTCAAAACCGGCAAGTACTAACAAGATATGGATCCCAACTTATATATGCGTACTTATCCGAGAAAAGCTATAAATAGAGTACTATAGCCATGCATGCGTATTGCATGATATACGCATGGACATGATCGATTACTTCTTGTAAATTTTGATGTTCTTCCATCGTGCTTCCATGTAATGGCTAGCATTCTTTCGGCAGGAATACACCCCACACTTGAAGTAACAAGCCCCTTTCCCGCCGTCTTTCCCGACGATCTTCAGGTCGCCGTCAACGATCACCGACAGCTTCCCTTTCTCTATGTCGTGGATCACGTTCAGCTTGAACCACCTGTCCACGATGTTGGGGACGATGGGCTTCTTCCAGAAGTACCAAAGGTCGTTGCCGATCACCCTCAACTGCAGAGTGAGGGTGCTTATTGTTCTTCCGCCGTGGATTTGGAATATCGTCACTCCATGTGATCCTTTTGGGACGAACGCGTAGCCTTCGAATTGCCACACTCCTGATGAGTAATCCAGGCCCTGTATATATATGTGCATGTAGACAAAATAAAGAACGAAGTTCTCAAACCCAAATTCCTATGTACAAAAGATTCGCCCAGAAAAGAGAAAAGATCCAAGTTCTTAACTCAAATGTTCTCTTTTTCAACTACGAGATTGATATGTTCCTATTTCATTAGCTACAAAAACTGATCAGCATCTAGTTGTGGATTTTTATGGTCACCAAATTTTTTTTTCTTTGTGAAGTCGATAATCCATCCAGTCAAATCAAATAAAAAAGAAAACACCACGTAAAATCTTATACGTAGATAAATAAAATTCGAGTCAAAGTAATCACAATCGAGCTATATAATAGATAATTATGTAAGGGGTTGTTTGGCAAGCATGCGTTATGCCTATGATTTTCTAAAAAATATGAATTTTTAAACGATTTTTTTTTTTTGTTGTTTAATTTCGATACCGAAATCATGTCAATCGGCCAACATTTGACGATAAAATTTATAGTGTATCGTACACTCCTGCAAGGTCAAACCCGAAAATTTTAAGATGAATTTTTCGAAATTCTTGCAAAACCAAACACGGTATTCTGATATCACCTCATTTTTAACAATCCAATTAATTACCTAAAAATACATAATTTCTGGAAATTTATGTATTGTACTAGATATATGCTTTCGAAAAGATCACTAAAAAAAATACCTTGATTCTGATTTCGGTCCGAGGCAAGGTAGTGCTGTGGGGTTTGAAAGGCTTGTCGTCGTCGTAGACCCACAACCGATGCACTCCATTCTTGAAGCTGTACCGCTTCTCCAACGGCACGTCGTACGGCTTCTGCAGCTTAAAGTTCCGTTCCGTCAGCTCCACTTGTTTGAACCCATCGGCGGGATCCGAATCTCGTCGCTGAACATCAACTTCTGCCGTCGCCAAAACTGCCGTCCCGATAGCAAGAAGAATTGATAGAGCCGCCGACAGGAAAACAGCAGATGCCATGACGACCATCCCCCTGAAGAAAATAATGATGTCTTTGTTTATTTCTTCTTTAGATTATGAGTAGTGAAAGCCATGTCAGTTATATATATACTAGTTAGGCATGAACCAGCAATCTCCTGGGCTGAGATATGGAATAAATGGGTATCCTGCGTTCATATTTGTGACTGACCCCTGGATATAAGATAGAGGACGGTCAAATTCGATTTCGGAAATGCAACTTTCCAAGCTTAGCCGAAGTGAATGGTTGGTACAAAGCCCGCAAGTTGGGGACTCTCATAAATTAAGACCAACTCTATATATTACTGCCAACGGTAAGCATCCCGGGAGAAGTTAAAACTGCATGCCCAGTACTGTAAGTAGCTGGTTTGATTTATTTTATGTGAGTTTAATTAACCGAAATTTGAACGAGATTTTTTTTTGTTTTAATAGCATTTTTCAATCTTTATCTTTTCTACTTTATATTTTCAAACTGGTTACTTAATAGTTTTGATTCCTTCCGTCTTACAAAAAAGTAGGATTTGGCTTAGAACTTGTCCTTTAGCACCATTAGAATTGACTATGTCCTGCGGGCCGGAACTCCAAAGTGGTGTTCGGTGATGGAAGAAACAAGATTCTGAGGTGTTATAATCTTATTTTATTTTTGTGTAATTATAATCTTATATTCTTATAAGAAGTTAGAGTATGCAAATTTAATCGGATCGGATTAATCCCTTGGTTTTGGCATAAATAGAAACCAAAAACCAGACCATTCTTTAAATAGTTTAACTGGAAGCAGATCAAGCGACGGGTGGGTGGGTTTGATACAATTAATATTTTATAATTTGTATCTCAATAGACATCACACAACATAATAATCATAAAATATTATTTATTCTCCACCTTTAGAAGTTGATAGGCACTATATAGTGCGATTAGAAAATATTATGACTATTCGATAGTATAAATAAGAAACAACATTTTGTCATGTAAAAATATGGTGCGGGTCATTGGGGGTGACCCGCAATCCACCCACCCAATTAAGTGTTGTAGTAGATTTATCAATACGCAATCCATCGACATCAATCACCTACTCACTGAAATTCGGGTTATTTGCGGGTGGTTCAATGTCAAACCGCAAATAAACCACCCACATGCCCAACCCTTACGTTATGGTCCACTGAAATAGACCTCACATTTTGCAGGATTACAATGTAGCCTAAGGCTAACTCCATGAAGCCTCTATAAATGGGAGAGTCTCTATATTTGGAGAAAAGTTGGCTCCAATAGAGTCTCTATAAATGGAGGAGTCTCTATATTTGGGGGGAGATCTGCAAAAGGATCCCAAATTTGGGGGTGGAAATGGGTGTTCCCCAAATACAGAGACTCCCTAAAGCCCGCCACGTTGCTTTTCTTTTTAAGATTTTAGAGGTTAATTGAGGTTTAATTAGGGGATTAGTTAGGGGTTTAATTAGATCAATAATTTTCAAGTGTGGTGTGTAAACCCAAATTAGGTCAATCATTTTTTGTCAAAAAATTTTCGTCTCAAAGTATCATAGTTGAGGACATGAATGTAATATTGAATAAAATAGGAGACAAGTTGAGGACATGAATGTAATATTGAATAAAATAGGAGACAAGTGGCATTTTGTCGATAATTCGGGTGTTGTAGTGGTATTAGCCCAAACACTAACTAAAAAGAAAGATCCCCAAATTTGGAAAATGTAGCGTTGGAAGTAAAGAGGAGAAAATGTGGTTGATCCCCAAATTTGGGGATGAAGGTCCCCAAATTTGAAGACTAACAATGAACTTGGCCTAATAAGCTATAAAACTGGTTCAACATAGTTCTAGCAACATGATTTAACAAAGAATACAGAGATTTCGTCGCAAGAGTAAACAAGTAAGTAGACAAGGGGTCTCTTGCCTTACCCCTTTCTTGGTTGAGAAGAAACCACACAAACCTTGACAAAGTGATATACGAGAAATAGCAGTAGAGGTGGCAAATGGATTGGATTGGTAGATTGGATTGGTGGATTGGATTGGATCTAATGGATTGGATCAAGTGGATAGGTGGATTATCCATGAATCCAAATGACATCCTCAACCAAGGACCAATATGTAAAATGTCAAAAGTTTAGGTACTAAAATGTCATAATGAAAAATTTTAGGTACCAAAATGTAATTTTCCAATGATATTTTTTGTATAAAAAATTAAATTTTAGGTACCAAAATGTAAAAAATTAAATTGTAGGTACTAAACCGTAATTTGCCAATGATCCATGGATCCAATCCATGAATCCACCAATCCAATTGGATTTGAATAAAATGGATTAGATTAAAATGGATTGGATTAGGTGGATATTTTTAATGGATTGGTGGATTGGATTGAAATTACCACCTCTAAATAGCAGTATAGACACACTCGCAAATCAAATGCAAAAAGATCTTGAGGAAATCCCATCACTGACTACTCTAATAGAAGTTTTTAATTAACTAAATAAAAAACCTTCATCAAATTTACTTTAATGCCACAACGAGAATATAAGTGTTTTATATTATATCCCCTACTCACTCCCGAGCCATAAGTATGTTATTGACTTTTCTTTTGTCACTTATAACGCAGATTGATTTGGAAATAATGCTCCTATGCACATTCCAATAATGTGCCATGTCCTATGATAAACCGTAACCCTACTATGAACCCCTTAGGCTTTGGTGCTCGATGACTATCCATAACAAATAGGACTGACTATAAGTTCCAGTTCGGTTAAACTTGTCCGAATTGACTCGATCCCGGTCTGTTTTTTTTTTTTTTTGAAAATAAATGGACCAAAGACGGGATTGGATATAGGGATGGCAACAAAACCCGAACCCACGGGTACCATACCCGACCCAACCCGGGTAAAACCCGTGTTGACGGGTTTTAGACCATGGGGATGACAATTTTGACCTGACTCGTTTTATCCGACCTGTTTGGTCTGTTTTGGAGCGGGCATGGGTACCTCTCATCGACCCGATCTGCCCTGACCACCTCATTCTCGACCTGTTATTGCCTAAATTACATGTAATCTTAGTCAAATTATTTAGAATTTTCCTCATATTTCAACTATAATAAAGTTGTAAATATGTGAAACCTCAATTTCTCCAATACTTTAACTACATTTTATCATATTATGGTTTATTTCTTAGTCTTTTAATGAAAATAATGAATATTTTTAAAGTTTTTCACATAAATTACATACCTATTGGGTCGACCAGCCCCGACCCCCGACCCGCGCCCCATAATAAATACCAACCTAGACCTGACTTGCCATGGGGCGAGTATGGGTATCGAGATACCCGGCCTGGACCTGCCCCATTGCCATTCCCCGGTTCCGGTTTAAACCTGTTCACTATTCACCGGGTTGGGTTGGCTTTGAGGTTAGGTAAACCCGCCCCATGGGTACTCGCTCACACCCATATAATTAATTTTTTTTCCGGTATATTTAATATTCTAAACAACTAATCTTCTTTATGTTTTTGGAGACATGTCTAATTTTTCCTTTCTAATTGTGTAGAATGAAGTTGATATTATTGAGTGGAGAGTGAAGAATCTTAATTGACAAGGAGGAAGAAGCTTTCAATTAATCATGTTGTTTATGGATAATTTGTGATTTGCTTAAATTTTCTTGAGTTTTCTAGATTGGTTTGAACAATTTGTATAGTTAATTGTGATTTGCTTGAATATTCTAGAATGATGTTTTATATATGAATAATTTGTATTGAGAGATTGATATTTAACTTTAATTTTGATAGAAACTTGTTATTGTAAATTTTTTACGACAAAAACCCCTGGATACCCAGCGGGTTGGGTTGAGTTTGAGTTTTCAAACCCATTGGTTTTTATCCGGTTTTTTCACGGATAAACCCATGAGTTTGGATTTGAGTTTAACAAAACCCGACCCATTGCCATCCCTAATTAGATACAGTCCGATTATGACCCGGTTCAGTTTTGATCCAATCCAGTTTCGATCCACTCCAGTTTCGACACAGACCGACTATATGCTCAGAAAAAAAAAAACTTCTGTAGCATATCCATGATTTTCTTTTCACGGAGACACAGAAGCAGTAAACTCTGTTTTCTAAGAACGAACGAAAAGATGCTTTCTTAGATAACACAATGAATTCTTAACTAAAACAAAAGAGCTGCCACCGACGGGCGACGGATAGGTACAAGCTGGGATCGACAGGCGAAGGCGAGGCGAGAGGTGTGGACCGACGGGCTTCTCTCCGAACTCGCGTCGCGCAACTGCAAGGAGGACTTAGCTTGGAGCCCTTCAGCGGACTGCGGGGCCGACGGAAGGAAGTCTTCTCTCCGATCTCACTAAGCTGGTCGACGGAGATGAACTAGGATGGAAGGAATCTGAGTCTTCTCTCCTCTCTGATCTCGCGTCGCGCAACTATGTTAGGGAAGAGCGGACTGGCGGACTGCAGTAACAACAATTTGTGATTGTGAGAACTGAAAACCTTGGTTTCTCTCATTAGTTTTGGCAGCTTATATAGCTGCATCAAAGTTGTAGAACAAGACAACCTTGCACCAGAAGCAAGTACAAGACATAAATGGAAAAGTGTCTAAGAACAAAACATTTGGAGTTAAAACGAAATTTGACAAAGTGGTCTTGAGACGTTGTCGTTCCATTTCTTCCTTTAGCTTGTCGTGGTACGCTGTCGTTCCAGTCTGTTCTTCAAGTCGTGCCTCATACGACGTCACTCCAAGTTCTGTTCTTCTTCTTCTTCTTCTTCTTCTTCTTCTTCTTCTTCTGTTCAGAAAGCGGGGGGGTCAATTATTTTGAATTGTTCCCTGAAGAGAGGTCAACCGGAGGCAGGGGTTTGGTGAAGAGGTCAGCGAGCTGGTGAACAGTGGAGATGTGGAGGAGTTTGATGATGTTCGCCTGGATTTTGTCCCGGACAAAGTGGCAGTCAAGCTCAATGTGCTTGGTGCGCTCATGGAATGTTGGGTTCTGGGCGATGTTAAATTGCAGACTGATTGTCGCAATAGAGGGAGACTGGTTGTGGGTGTGGAATGCGGAAGTCATGGAAGAG